ATTCATGAAGTTTCATAGTCTAGTCACTACACCTTGTAATCTCAAGATTAATCTTGAATAATTTTTGTTATTGTGTGATTAGCAGGTTTTGTTAGAAAAGAATGTATAAAATGTCATTTATTAGAAAACCATAAGTTTGTATTCGACTGAGATTTTATTTCTTTAACTCTATTAAAAGGTCGGTTTCCGATGAACAGACTCCGTAATTTTCATAATTCCATTTGTTTAGACACTTTGACATAATTTCGAATCTTATAAGAATAAAACCTAATAATGATCTCCCAACTCCATAAACTCACGCATTAGAAGGCTGTGTTTAGAAGAATACTTTGTATTTAGAAACCTCTCTTTATAATCTTTGTATTACGTAACTCCCTTCTAACATGCACCAACATGTTTAATTTCACACGTAAAAGGAAAATAATTATTAATATAATGTGCTTAGGAACTAAGTCGCCAAAGACTCGTGGCAGTTACAGGCGGCTGAACAAAGTGTGAAGAAGTTGGAAAAAAAAAGTTGACTGAACATGGTGGGAAAAGCTGCTTTGTTGAATAAAAATATTTTTACAAATGTTTTTTTTAATAAAACAACGTTGTTAAAGGGAACTTCGGGAGTCAAAGCTTGTTGATTTTTCAATAAATTCATGAATGAAATCTCTATTTATAGGCACTAAAGACTAGAGAGGTTACTAGCGACAGTGGAACATTATGAAATAGGTTAGTTACGTGGAAACTGGTATACAATATGATTTGAGTGGTAAGGGGCAGCATGGATTAAGAGAGTTTAGGGTGTTCTTATTTTCTTAAAGAATCTAAATTTGTATATAATTCAGATAATTAATTTTATTTTTTATTGATCATCTAAAATTATTTCTTAATTTTTTATATGATTTATTAAAAAATTATATTTCTAACATAAAATTATACATCGATTTTTATTATAAATTAAAATTTTGAAGTGATTTTTTTAAAGAAAATTAAAATCTACAAACTATCATTTCTTCGCAAGGCAAAATCTCTAAACAAACCTTTCCGCTTATCAAAGTTTCTAAGGAACTTATATCTTCAAGACACATTAGTATTGTAGCATTCGAACCAATTATAGTGCGTAGACAAAATAATATTTTTGACAGAATCACATAAACTATCATAATGAAATTTAATATTTAACTTTCATATTTATTTAATTTATTAACTTACAAATAATTATAATTACCTTATACGTAACACATCAACTAAAATCACTATTAATACCTCTAAATTACAACCATTTTTCCTTCACTCCGATCTCTCCATCATAATTTTATCTCTCTTACATATAAAGACTAATCGACAATGGCCATTATCATACTAATCACTAATTTTATCCAAATGAAAAGAAATAACCGTAAACAACCAACTACATAAATTTTGTGAGTCAACAAACTCCATATATTTTTCTTTGGGGTGAATTATAGAAAAGTTGAAGTATGAAAGGTAGGGACCCGTTCAAACAGGTGCGTGTTGTACGATGGTGAGAGAGGTGGGTGGGAGAGTGGAAGCCACGCGTAAACATGATCCGAACCTGTGGACCTAAACAAAGGGTGGTCCATCCTCTCTGGTCGCCATTCATAAGCACCAAATTCTTAGTTAGATATAGGCTTAGTACTATGATATTAATTTTATAGTTTAATTAAAATATTTTACTTAATCCCCTAACTTAGTGTTTTTAAAACTTATTTTAAGAACATACAAATATTTTTTATATAATTTAAGGACATGTATGATACTTTTATCCCTTGAATTGATGAGTCGGATTATAGAATCCGACCGTAGGATCAAAGTTTGAATCAAATTATTTTAAGATTTAAAGTGAATAAAATATATACATTGAATACGTATATCTATACAATATGGACTGCTTTTAATGTAAGGGTAAAGGGTCGGTTGCCTCTTTCTTCTGCTTGCAATTTCTTTGTTTATTTATCCCCAAAATCCCCCACGTGTCTTTGCATGTGACTATGGGGAAACATTACCTAGCCTAGGTGGCCTATAACATTAGAAATGTTTTCGATTGAAATAATTAAAATTGCTTCAAAGGCAATTTTACAAGTGGGGGTATTATATTTATTATTTTTTGTAAGACATGTAGAAGAGTTGATAATTTTTTTACGGAATCTCTTTTTAATTGTGAATTTAGGGAGTATTCATTTTTATATTTTGTTGATGTTTTTGAAATATTAAGTACATATTGCATGATTGGTTTGTAAGTACAAAATGAGGTTGGAAGCTAATCTTGTTCATCTATATGAGTATATAATTGACTAATATATATTGATGGAAGTTTTTATCAGTAATTTTTGTTATTTCATGATATAATATGGTTATTTAATTGTTGTTTTGATACATTTCACATATTTAGATTGATAATATTATAAAAATAAATTAATTGATAAAATATATAAGTTTTAAAAACCAAGACTATTATTATATTAGATTATGGGAGACATTATTTTAATTTTAAAATCTAGTCATATATAATATTATTTTAATTAAATTATAATTTTAGGGAAAAAGGTTTATAAATGAACCTGAAATGAATTTCATCATAATTTAAAACTTTTCGATGTATAGTAGTTGGATTCAGGGTATTAATATTCGAATATCCGCATTTTGGAGTACTAAAACTTAATTCATGTCCCGACTCGTGAAAGTAAGGTATCCACTAATTTGGATAACAGGGTACCCGCTAGCGCGACTCATGATTTACCCGCCTTTTTCTTCTTCACTCTTATCTTTCTCTCGCAACAAAACCAAAAGCATAAAACCCAGAAAGATCCTTATATGGGGTTTTAATTATCATACGAGGAGTTTTGTTTCTGTCAAATAAAAGATAATGGAGTAGTCGGATAGTCAGGTATCCGTTTAAATGAAATTTCATGACACGGATTGAACCTGAAAATTACGATAAAATAACAGACTCTGAAATGTAATTTAGAATATTTTTATTATAAATATCTTATATTTTTTAAACAGGTTAATGGGTCGGATAATTCGAGTCGATTTGTTTAACACTCCTTATTAGATTGCATCCTAATCCTAACGAATCATTGGAAGATAATTTTATTTTATCTATGTATAAAAATAAAAATTGAATTGAATAAATTATTATTCAATGGGAGATTGTTTGAATGTGAAAGAAGCATCTAGGAAAATGCAAGGAAAAGGTCAGCTACTAAAGGAAGGGGTGTTTTTAACTCAAGAAACAGAGTAATCTGACATTAATGGCATATCTCTGAGCTCTGAAAATAATGAATCTGAAATTCCATTTTAAATACAAATGTTTGCAAGTTGATGAGATTATTAAAAAAACAGGAAACATGGTGGTGGGGGGCATCACATGGAGAGAGATTCGAATTGGAAGTTCCCAAAAATATGGTAAAAATGTCAGCTACTTCCCTTCTCTGTCTCCGTTTTGTTCGACAATCAACACACCAGCCAGCGCATACCCCCTTCTTACATTAATGCCCATCATTCCTGCATGCCCTGTAGACATTTCAAGTTATTCATTTCGAATTGCAGAAAATCACGTGTATAAATTTCACTTAGGTGACCCCTATATATATTATCAACTCTTTGTTAAGAAACCTTTTTAACCAATTGAAAACATATACATATTTTATAGACATAGTTATTCGAATATAAAATTTTTAAGATATAAAAATATTCCCTTTTATTATTCATGCTATTTAATGAGTTCAATTATATATATAGGGATAAAATCCTATGATACAGTATAAAACTTGTAAACTAAAAGATTTATATATTATGCAAGTAGATCCCAATCAATATATGTAATGTATATATATTGGATTGAAAAGTAAGAAATTCAATATCTTTTAAATAAGATGTCATATTTAATTTTAAGAGCGAATAAAATGATATTAGAAGAGTTTTGTTACCTTGAATTCAACTCAAATCTCGATATAGTAAGAGTTTAATTAACTTGTTGGGTATTAGAAATATCATTAAAATAGATTAATTTATATTTTGATATATGAACTTAATTTTAAGATTCAATTTGAACATTGTACCTTAGGTCAAATTAATACACGAGCTTGATTTTATTGATCTAATTTGGTAAAAAAAATGTTAAAGTACTAATCTGAACCAAAAAGTCATGATCATATACTAATTGAACCTAAACCCTTACGGACGGAACCATGATGAAACTCGAGGGCCCAAACATAAATAATACTAATAAAATAGATATTTGGGCCTGGATCTGTGTCAGTGGCTGTGCTATTCAGGTTCAGATTCTGGTTCTGATGGAGTTTGTTGGGCTTCATCTTCATCTTCTAGTTTTTCTGCGAATGCTGTCAACTGTACAGTGAAAATAATCTAAATATTCAATTTGGCTCCTTCATGGCACCAACTTAAACTCCATTCTGTAATGAAGAGGATAACTTGGACTGTGTTGAAAAATTTTAAAAAATAAACAAAACCCATTAACAAGTATTTTAGTGGTGATAATATATAGACATTCATGCTAAAAGTTATTTGATTAATCCCTCCCAACAAATAATTGTTTGATTAATGGTTCCACTCATTGAATGTAGTATCTGGTTGCTCAAGTTTAATTAATTCCAATATCCATATATTTAAATAATTTGATTTAAATACAGATAAAATCTTTATTCAATTGGTATTGTAATTGTTGTAATGCATAAGTGTGTGTGAAATCAAGTATGTAATATATTTAATTTAATTACGTAAAAAATATTTAGAAAAATCTATTCTTTTTAAGTTTTCAAATATAAATTTTAAATTTCAATAAAAAAACCAATACAACAATTAAATTATAAAATAATAAAACATAAGATTATTAAAAAACTATTATACATGGAGAAAATAAAAAATTAATTTATAGTATAATTAATAATATTATATTAAGAAGAAAAAAAAAACCCTTATATATCCCGTGGCAAAAGCCTAGTAAGTTCTATTATCCGACCAGTGGAACAAGGGCACTGACCCCAAAGTTCCTGCTTCCAATCTCCCCGTTTTACGCCAAAAATGATTGCCTCAACAACTCTCCCCACTTGCTTCAACTTCAAGCTGCTCAATCCCCAGCAAGTATTTTCACCCCCAAAACCCAGCACAAAAAACTCGCCCTTTCCCACAAAGTCCCATCATTTCTATCATTACAATCATCTTTGGACCGCTATCTTCAAACCCAAGCCGTGTTCCATCCGTAAAGTCCTCAGGAAAGTGAACGATGATGGCGGCACCCTACATGAGCCTGCAGCTGTTTCTGTAAGTTATACAACTTAAAGCTTCTGTTTTCCTATCTGGGCCCTTGTAATTTTACTCAGAGTTTGTTCTTTTTGTTCTTCTTTCCTTTATCTTGTGTTTTTGTTCGGCTTTTGGAGAGAAAGATGTCTCTGAAAACTATAAGATTTATGGTTTTAGAATGTGAATGATTAGTCAAAGGAAATGCCTTTAATACTTGTTAATACTATCTTAGTAACTGGTTTATCAGTCGGGGAATTTTACCCATTTTTTGTAGGAACAAAGTTTTGATTCTGGGTCAATAGATGAGAACTTTACTTTTTCATATCGAATCAGTACAGAGCTATAACGACAATGAAAACAGTAATTTTGTTCTTTTGACCATGGTAGTTAGTTTAAGGTACATTAACATGCAGCTTCTTATGCTAATTCCAGGTTGGTGAAGGGACAAACAGTAGCTCTTCCACTTTAGGTGACAACTATGTGGCCTTATTTGTAAGGATGCTTGGGCTAGACCATGATGCTCTTGACCGAGAACAGGCAATAGTTGCACTATGGAAATATTCACTTGGTGGAAAGAAGTGCATTGATGCCATTCTGCAGTTTCAGGGCTGCGTAAACTTAACCGTGAACCTTCTCAGCTCTGAGTCTAGTGCTACATGTGAAGCAGCTGCTGGTCTTTTACGGTCCATATCTTCAATCAATTTGTACAGAGGTATAGTAGCAGAAAGTGGAGCAATAGAAGGGATAACTGGTTTGCTGAATCGACCTTCTTTGACTTCTGAGGTACAGTGGAGGTATTTTGCCTTTGAAAATGTTCGTCTTGTTTATCTTGTTTGCTGAAATTTTAGACGTTTTGAACTTTTTTAGGTTAAAGAGCAAAGTATTTGTACTTTGTGGAACTTGTCTGTTGATGAGGAACTTAGAGTGAAAATTGCACTCTCGGATATCCTACCATTGCTCATCAATTCCCTGGATGATGATGACATAAAAGTGAAGGAAGAAGCTGGTGGGGTTTTGGCAAATTTGGCCTTGAGCCATTGTAATCATGGCATAATGGTTGAAGCCGGTGCCATTCCGAAATTGGTGAGGATCTTTGCTGAACTGGGCTGATTGTTTTCTATTCAATTAACTTAATGGTGTTCCGGTTACATGCTGAATTGGTACATGAAATATAGTGACTAACTGTAACTGAAACTACTTTTCAATGGGACCTGATGAAACATTCTCATTTCAAATTCAGGCAAAGCTCTTAAAAACTGACTTGGAAGAATTTAAAGTGATTCGGAAAGAAGCTAGAAATGCTTTATTGGAACTTGTTAAGGATCAATATTATAGAATTCTAGTCATAGAGGAGGGTCTGGTTCCTGTGCCCATGGTTGGTTCTGCCGCTTACAAGTCTTTCAGGCCAGGATTATATTCATGGCCTTCTATGCCTGATGGTACAGAGATCGAGCAGACTTCAAAAGGTCCTTCAAGGTTTGGTGCCTCTGAATTACTCCTCGGGTTAAATGTTGGCGAGAATGCCAAGATAGAGGAAGCTAAGCAGAATGCAATAGTTGGACGGACACAACAACAATTTCTTGCTCGTATAGGGGCTATAGAGTTGGATGGCAAAAGAGAATCTCAGTTTGATACCCCCACTGATAATCGACTTACTATTCTCCCATGGATTGATGGTGTAGCTCGATTAGTTTTGATACTTGAGCTTGATGACGAGGTTGCCATATCGAGGGCTGCCGAGTCAATTGCTGACTCATCTATCAATGAACATATGCGGATTTCATTCAAGGAAGCAGGAGCCATCAAGCATTTGATTCGGCTTTTAGACCACAATAGTTATGCTGTCAGATCCGCTGTGACCCATGCTTTGGAGAGGTTGTCTATTAGGTACTGTTATTCATTGTTATTCTCTTTGTTAGTCTTTATTGAATTTTTCCTAATTGAACATTGTGCATCACGCTATTATGTTTGACATTTTCCCTCGTATTCTTATTCATTATCCACATTTCTGTTTTCTTTATTTTATTGATAGTTTCGGAGTTAACTAACAAAACATTTGCTCTGTATCCCGATTTTTAGATAAGATAGAATGTTCTCTGAAGTTTCTTGTTTGCTGCAGCCCTCTTGTTTATCCGGTACTTGAAGCTGAAGGTATTTTACACCCTTTAGTTTGTACTCTGAAAAACTCGGAGACCTCCGGAAGCTTGATGGAAAAGGTAGCTATGTTTGTTTTCTCATGATAGAATTTGTAATAATACTAGTTTGATATTAGTGACATGGATTCTTGCTGCATTTGCAGACCTTATATATACTTGCTAGGATTTTAGACCCCAGTAAAGAAATGAAGTCAAAGGTTAGTCAATCCGTTCCTACAGCATAGCGTAAATGATAAAAGACATTTTTATTTGTTGGTTTTTTTGACACTTAGACACCTTTATTATTCAGAGTTTTCAAAACACAATCACCCCTCAAGCGTGCACACGCACAGGGTGATTTGGACCCTGCATTTTTCTATTGACTTACTCTAGTATACTGTTGTATCTAGTTCTACAATGGACCAGTAAATGGTTCAAAAACAGGTATAGGAGCTGCAAGCATTGTTGATTCTTCTAGTGATAGGCCCGCGTCAATAATGGATTCCAGGTTTTTTCCCCTTCTTTTTCGTGTCTTTGTTTCTTTGAAATATGATGCTTCATCATATGACCTCCTTTTTATTGTATCCTTGGGTTGTGAATTGTTAGACTGAGCAGTCATATATCTTGGAAATGTATTGTAGGAAAGAATTGCTGGACTCTGCTGTCATTACCCGCCTTATTGAGATTATGAAGACTTCACCATCAAACTTGCAAAGGAAAGCAGCTTCTATCTTGGAATTCATGACGGTAATCGAACCTAGCATGGAAACGATTATCAAAGAAGATATGTGGTCCGGTTTGGAAGCTGTTTTTCAACAAAATGCTCTAAGTAAGGAGATATAAAGTCTTAGTCGAAACACTTAAGCTGTAATGCTTTAGACAAGTACCGATACACCTTTGCTATTTTGCAGACATGGAAGCTGATGTAGAAGGTCAGGAACCTGACAAATATGCTCTCCAACTTGAAGAAGCTGCTCTAGCAGTCTCTGCAGCTTCAAGGCTACTTACAAAACTTCTCGACTCGGAACAGTTTTACCGAAAAGTAGACCCTACCCTTTTCATTAAATTACTCCGCAAAATCCTAAAGTCCGCTATACCTCTTCAAAACAAAGATTGGGTTGCGGCTTGCCTTGTCAAACTGAGCTCTTTATCCAGTCCTTATGTGGATTACGAGAATCCGATCAGCATGGAGGTAACCCTTTATGAGGCAATACCAAGACTTATAGAGCAGATACAATCATCTTTTTCTCCAGAAACGCAGGAAGCTGCTGCTCTTGAACTTAACAGAATAATTTCCGAAGGGGTCGTTGATTCCACCCGAGCTGTCGCATCTAGGGGCGGTATATTTCCACTGGTGAAGCTTATCGAAGAAGGAAGTGACAGGGCAGTCGAAGCGGCCTTATCGATACTGTATAATCTGAGTATGGACAGTGAGAATCATTCAGCAATCATAGCTGCCGGGGCAGTGCCGGCGTTGAGGAAGATTGTTTTATCGCAAAGATCAGATTTTACACGAGCACTTCGTCTGCTGAGAAATCTACCTGTGTGATGGCAACACGAAAACTAGGTTTTCAGGGGCGTCGTACAGATATTGTAAATCATTTTTGTTATATTCAGGATCCATTTTTATGGAGTTATCATATCGGTATAATTTCACCAGAAAGTCCATGTTTTAGTGACAAGTATTTCTTAATATTATTCTTGTATTATGAGTAGGGACTCAAAATTTAAAATTAAAAAACTATAGGTGTTAAAATTGATGGACTATTTCCATAACTTATTCATAATACGGGGAGTGATGATAAATATGATCATTAACTAAACGGGGTCTCATCTCTTCTAATTTTGTCCCTTAATATCTTGTGAAGATATTTCTGCTTGATCATTGGCCAGCCAATTGGTAGTTTTTTTGAAGTTATCCTTCGACAGTCAGCAAAGAACACAGAAAGCCAAAGAAGCATGACACTGGCTTGCTTATCCTGCAGTTCCATTTCCACGGCTGGAGCTGTATTTCTTCCCTTAGCTTCTCTAGTAGATAAACCCTCTCCTCAAGAAACTCATACAAACTCGAAACCGAAAACAGCAAGCCGACCGAGAAGGAGGAGACAACGTTTGCGTCAACAGAAGCCAAACCCTCCTCCTTCTATTGTCCAGATTGAACGTGCCATTGGTGCCGGCTTCTTCCGTGACGCTGACTCCGGGCATATCTTCTTCTACCCTCTTTCTTTCTTTGAAGTTCTTAAAAGTTTCTTCCTTTAATGTTGCGCTTTCTACTGTTTTTTCCCCTTCAAGATGGATTTTAGCTCGTTTGTGAGTAAAGTCTGAATTTTTGTTTGGTTAAACATGGTCAGTGAGTTGGAGGGGGAAAGGAGGAAGACGATATTTGATGGGCTGTTGCCTGTTGGTGGTGGTAAATTTGAAGGAGAAATCGAGAAGTAGCTACGCGAGACTGGGGAGTGTATCGGTTCCACAACAGAAGCAACCTTCCGTTCCTCCGGTATTTGATCATTGTTGTCTCTAATTCGTTTCTATTTCTTTCAAATCGCGCAGCTTAAACTAGGAATTTATGTCCATGTATGCCTAAATCAGCCCTTCAAGTGCTCTATTCAAGCCACTTAGCCAAATGTGAAAGCACTATTCTGCAGAAAAGATGTGAACATTGATTTGTAAATCCCATTTCTTTTGATTCTTTTAGTTGTTGCCAATTGCTTTTGCGCAGGAAAGACAATTCTGTTGATTGTGCTTCAGTGGATCCTACCCATTTGGACCATTTCTTCATCAAGCTCCCATTCACCACACCCCTCATCATGTGAAACTACCCGCTTCAACACCTACTTTCGTTTCGCTCAAATTTTATTCGTTAATTAAAATGGATTTTAATATAATTCTCGTGATTGAAAATTATGTAGTAACTAAATTTATTTAGATAAGAATTTTTGCGGAATAAGATAATAACTTCATCTTCCTCTGTTTCTCCTTCGGAGGCTCGTAACCTGCTAGTTTGCTTCATCTTCTCCAGACATGACCATGGCTAATACCCTATACGCCTACTAATTTTTTCTCTCTTCCAATTCAGGCCCCTGCCATTGATTTTTTTATTCTTTTGTTATCTTCAACATGTAGTTTTAAATTTGTCTAAACTAATGCAAAATATAATAATTCTGTGACCATTGACCACCTTCTTAACTACAGTTGAATCCATTTTTCATAAAGAAAATCCAACACCGGGTAAAAGAAGAAAAAACAAAGGTAGAGAGTTAGTTTAATTATGAATTTATTCCTTCTACTATGCTAGAGTTTTAGATTTAGTCCCTTTAATTTGTTAAATTTGATTCATCTACTTCTACAATACCATTAGTACGTATGAGATAATAATAATAATGCTAATTTGTTAAATATATCAACACTACTTAAAAAATCAATTAACCATATTCAACAAATAATAAATTAACATATTAAACCATATTTAGCAAGAAAAAAATATAAAAAAATCAAACCAATTAAATATTTATGTTAAATTAGTAAGCCATTTAATCTTTTCTCTTTTTGTATTTATTGATCGGAAGTGGTGACACCAACTTTAATGTTAGTTGCCGACCGTCAATATTCTCTATTGTCCTTTTATTTTTTTTTTATATTATGTCCTTATTTTCTTTTGTTTTATATTTTCAATAAATTTGTCTGTATGATACATTTTCATTTATCTTCAAGGCATAATTTTTATTTGTCTTTTGACACGTTTTTCAGTCGTTTGATTGTTATTTTCACTTATCTTTTTCTAATGATTGCTTTGACATCGTCACGACTGATCAAGATTACGCTTATATATTATATTGTTGATATTTCATACTTTTGACCCTTGGATTGAATTTGAATATCCGTTATGCGTTTATGGATAGCATTTCACGTCGCTTGAGTCTGATTTACGGTTTTTCTGTGGTCTTTCAGTAGTTTGATCTCCTTTTGTATTTTGTTTGCCCATGCGATCATATCTTTTGTAATTTTATAATTGTAAATCTTTATTGTAATTTAAGATATTTCATATTTTGAATAAATACGAGTTTTTTTTGGATAAATTACGATTTGTGGATAGTTTTTTCTATAATTTTATGATTGTAAATATTTATTATAATTTAAAATATTTTGTATTTTTAAATAAAATTAGTGATTTCCGTAAATAAAATAAAAAAAAACAAGAAAGAATATCTCTTTAACAAATAATATTAAAAATAAAGTTGAAGTGTTCTTGAAGCCTTGAACTTTTAAAAATCAATTAATCTTCTAAAAATTTTTAGACTTAATTGAACTTTGACGTGAAAAATTAAATTAATTAAATTCTTTGACCTATTTTAAACGTTAAATCTTTGGGTAGTTCTGTTGTAAGATAGCCTTAATATACGGTTAAAGAAAGATCCTACCCAAAATATTAATATTTTTTAACATTTTCGGCAAAATGCTACCTAAAACATTATTTTTTTTACCGAAAATTTAATTTTGTTATCTAATTTTTGGTAAAAAAACATTTTAGGTAGCGTCCAATATTAACATTTTCGATAGAATTTTAAGTAGAGCTTTACCAGAAATATTAAACATTTTAAGTAACGTCCAATATTAACATTTCCGGTAGAAAAAATAATGTATTAGGTAGCATTTTACCGAAAATGTTAAAAAATATTAACATTTCAAGTAACACATTTTATTAATTATATATTAAGACTATCGTACCCTACATATCTCCTAAATTTTTACAATTTTTTTGGGGTATTTGATACTTTTAACATAGAACAAAGGAAGTAAAAACCTAGAAAAATCCAACACCATTCAATGGTGGTGGAGAGAGGCGATTTGACCAAACTGACATCGTTTAATCGAATATCTCCCTTTTTAGCATTGTTTGACATATATTTCTCGAAGTGGCACTCTTTCGGCTGAGGTGGTGAAAGGCGCATCCCTGGGGACGCGTTTTACCTGATTTTACGCTGAGTTGGATGCCACGTGTGAAAGGCGCATCCCCGGGGACACGCCTTCACGGGGTTTTGCTAATTCGGTTGCCACGTGTGAAATGCGCATCCCCGGGGACGCGCCTTTCATTAAATGTCTTAAATGTCCATCCGATTTTTCCCCAACTACCCCTCCTACTCTCCCTATATAAACCTTCTCAACCTCCCCCCTCATTCTTCATACCAAAATCATCTTCTCATCTCTTATATAACTCAAATTCTCCAAATCTTTGAGTTTTAAATTTCTTATTAATGGTAAGAAATTTATTTTTCAGTTAGTATTTTTTTTAAATAGTTATTATATTTTATATTAATATAATTATTATTTATTTAAATTTATTAATTAATTATTTTTTGTGCTAATTATTTTTTTGTCTACATTTATAATGGAAAGTAAAATGCTGATGCGATTGGATGCTGACCATATCTCCAGACATTTTAGCGATATGGTAATATTTTTTTTTATAATTAATGTTAATATTTATTGTTATGTTTAATTTAAATTTATTATGAATTTATATTAATTTTAATTTTTTATAATGCATATTATTTAGGATACTGATCGTATTTTAGAGACATTTATTAAAAATCTACGTATACCGACACCGGAACGTATTTTGCCATATTTGGCTTCTTCCGGGTTCGGATATATTGCAATAATTATTGGAGGTTGCAAACTCGAACCTGTCCTAATTTTTGCATTGATTGAGAGGTGGAGGCCCGAGACACACACTTTTCACATTCCATGTGGAGAGGCTACAATTACATTGGAGGATGTCTCTATGCATCTGGGCTTCTCGTCGACGGAAATATGATGTGTGGTATGGTGGATGGTGATTGGCAGTCAATGTGCATGGATTATCTTGGAGCTGCTCCGCCAGAGTTTAATGGAGGTAGAATAGCTTTATCTTGGTTGAAAGCTAATTTTGAGGTTTTAAATGAAAATGCTTCAGAGGATCAAGCAAAGACATGTGCTCGGGCATATATTCTACGAATAATTGGAGGAATATTGATGCATGACAAATCTCGCAACCAGGTGCATTGTATGTGGTTGCGACATCTGATCAATTTTGATGAAGCTGGAAGATATAGTTGGGGCGCTGCAGTTTTGGCATTTCTCTTTAGAGAAATGTTTCGGGCGACGAATTATAAGAAAACTGCTATCGGTGGATGTCTCATGCTTCTACAATCATGGGCGTGGTTCCACATGTCTTTCTTATGCCCGATAGTGAATGAACCATACGTATTCCCCTTATTATTGAGGTAATTTTCAAACTAAATTTTGATTTAAATATTTTTAATTAAATAGGGTGATATTTAGTTTATATTATATTTCATAGGTGGTCGATGAAAAGAAAGGACCATAGAAGTATACCTACTGGGTTAGAGGAAATTCGTCTACTTATTAATACAAAAGTTGGGTCTGAGGTATGTTTTTACACCTGTTTAAATATTAATATTTCAATTTAAAATGCTAGATATAATTAGAATATTTTATTTATTTGAATTGTATATTTATATTTCAGTTTCAATGGATACCTTATGCGAGCGATGAAGTGAAGACTTACATCCCACCCTATCTTGGTGGGTCATTAGAGGTTTGGATATCGGTTATACCTCTTATATGTTATGCTATTATTTAGTGACATCTAGTTGATCGCATGCTCCGTCAATATGGTTGTACGCAATATATTCCTGGAGCACCTAGGAATTTAGACGACGTGCATAACATAGATAGACGAGGAAAGAAAAAGATTAACTGGGTGGTGAGACACAGAGATTGGATTGCGCTTTGGGAGAACCGGTATGCACAGTTGGCCCCTCGACAATATTACGTTGAAACTAGTCATATGGTTACGGATAACTATATGGATTGGTTTAATGAAAATGGGAAGCCGTTTCTACTTTCGGCGGAAGCACGAGGGGTTAACATTCCTAGGCGCCAAGAAAGATGTCAACCGTCTTAATATCATCGTCCCCCGACGCGTGGACGGAGAGAAGGCACTATCGGTTCTGCATCAGTCCCATCATAACATCCTTATCCACCTATGCCACAGTGGTACATGCCCAGCCCTCCACTTCAGATGCCATATCCTCAGGGGTATATGCCAACCCCACCAGTTCATATGTCATCTTCGTAGGGTTACATTCCTAGCCCGCAGGGTTACATTCCTAGCCCGCCAGGTTACATGCCTAGCCCGCAGGGTTTTATACCATATGGGGGTGCATATACGACTATGTTTAATGATCCAACATATGGTTCATATGCATCTTATTTGGCTGGTGGTGCTTTTCCACAGACACCTCAATCTCCATCTGGATCACAGACATCGATGACAATGATTCCACAGTTCCCGGGGAGCGGTGGGATTATTACTAGCACTCATCCAGGGTCATTATTTTATACAGGCCCTTCAGCCCCTACAGCGTCATCTACACCAAATGAAGAAAATGTCGATGATGATGATAGTGAAGATGAGGAGACTGAAGAACAAGTTCCACGAAGAAATCCTCCGCGAAATAGACAACCACCGCCATGTGGAA